TTCAACAATCATCCCAACAGACGGGAGAAACCTTGAGGTTGAAAGCAAAAGCCCAGAAGGCCGTTCAAGGCTCTCTGCAAGATTACCGGTGCCTCAAGCTGTAGACTGAGAAGCGCCACCGAAGTCCTTTGCAGCAGGACGGCCACACAGGCAAAGTGGAGGTGCCATGACCACCAAACAAGGCAAGTCTCTCTGGAGCTACGAAAAGCTCTGGTCCATGGCGAAGAAAATTCAGTACCTGCATCAGCAGGGATCCGCATGACCCAAAGACACAGGACACCCACACAGATCAGCAGAATAAAACGCTTCTAGGAGCACAAAGTGGAACTGCGACCCATCATGGTCAAGGAAGTAGGAGCCGTCCTGCCCAGGAAAAGGCTCAATGTAGCAGCTGCAACCTTTCTGTCAACAATGCGTGTTGTTTGCTATGATGCTTCTATGGCAGATTCTATGGCGTGTCCAGCTCGTGCTGATGCTTCCTCTGGTCGTCCGCTGGCTATAGCGGCTAGAATAGAAGCAGCTTACGGCTCCTGCCGAGGACCCCTCCCTTCGTCCTGGTCACATGGTCCGGACACGATGTCGGCTAGCCCCGAACCAGCTGCTCTGCCGGTTGTCAGGGTCGACCGCGCCTGACGTTCGCTGGATGCACAATGCGAAGGGCAGAAGCAGAGCTTTGTTGCTCGCTTGGCTCCGAGCGGTCGTGAAACGATGCCCACCGACATTCAACACAACCCGGCTTCCTGGCCAAGCCAAGCGGAAGCAGTAGCAATGTAGCACCATGCAAACTGTCGTCATTTCCACTTGCAAGCTCCCAAAACTAACATAAACTAACCCACCTGCTTCTGGCCGCCTCGCCTGTGCTGGAGCACTCATGACGACTGCATCTACTGCTAGCAAGATTCTTAGCGCAGCCAATGCATACCCCCTAATCTCCGCAACCATCGACGACCAAATCCGACAAGTGGCGCTGAGGCAGGGTAAACAACACCTGAGCAACACGGCATGGTAGCAAGATGCCACCGGCTGAAATTAGATCTGCACACGAACGAACTCCTCAGTCGGCAGCGGAGAACCGCTCACCATCGTGTCAGACCTGAGGCAAGATGACATCGTCGGCGTGCACAGACTCCTCCGTCACGCAGAGGCGGGGAGCCCGACTGCAGCCCGGCGCATGTTCCTGAAATGTGCCGAAGAAGCTAGCACATTTGCCAGATACAGCGGAGACTTCAACAGATCTCTTGGAGCCTCGCACGCATCAACCATGTCCCTTCAAATGAGTGCATGCCATTTGCTGGAGTTGGGGATCGACCCGTGCAGTTGGACTTTTATAGGCCCAAAACAGTACCAGGACATCATGACTTAGTTTGTGCCACGTAGAGTCAGCACAGGTCAACGATATGCATCTGGGTCTGGGTTTGCTGGGGGTTGTATGAGTGCAGCTTGAGCCTCCAGAGAAGTCACACGCAATGGGAGCTACACGGCACAGTAGGGTGCAATCGCAGCACAAGCCTGACGGCAAACTGCCGGAAAAGTTGTCGCCGGCCAAGTTCCGGCAGATCCCTTTTCCTGTGGCAAAGGTTCCGGGGTTCCGGAGGTGTCAATCCGGCAGGGAGTCGGACTGCGACGCCTGGCTGGGTCAAAGAGCCTCCCTCCATCTTCCGCCATTCTAAGCCCCAAGCCTTGCCAAGCAGTCTCATGCAAGTGCCAAAGAAGGCCGCCTGGTCCTGGCCAGGGAGCTACGGAGCGGATCACGAGCTGCTTCCCTTCATGCCAAGGACATCAACAGGAGGCAGTTCTATGTACCGGCAACCGGCAACCGACAATCCGAGCCAGCTAGAGCCAGCGAGAGCCTTGCTCGATTAGATCGTCCTCTTGCTCGAAGCGAAGACGCAGAAAGCACCCTGCGTCGAGGCTGATGTGCACCATTTTGCGCCTGGGGAACACGCGTAAGGGGGCCGGATGAGTGTGGCAAACAGGAGACACTCTGAGTTTGGTCGGCACGGCTGCCTTTCGCTTCCCGGCCACAGGCAGCTTCCGGTCCTTCGACCCTTCTCGAGAGGGCGCACCCAACGAATGCAACTCATCCGAATAGTTTGTTCCAGACCTCCAGAGATGATGACCAGCTCTTCTAAAGATGAAGGCAGGGCGACTACTGCCAGAAGGTTGCACCCTTGGCGACCCGTCTCGTTCTCGTCAATTCGTAGTTGGACAATCACGCCGCGGAGCATGGCTTCAATGAAGATGGTGAGACAGTCTTGCAGCTTTGCCATCTCGGCATCGGAGATGGCAGGCTGTGAAGAGCTTGGGGCTGACCAATCGTACGCAAGCTGCCCAAAGTTTACAGGCACGTACAACTTGGCCGGCATCAAACCGTAGCCATCCCTGGTGTCCAGTCGTCCGTCTTCAAGTGCCAAAGCATAGCACTCTGTTGAGGAAAGCTCCTTCCGGCATTGCTGTGTTTCGTTGCAGCCCTCACCTTCAGTTTACGGCTGCATCTACTCCCGCAAATACAGAAAGTGTCATGACCGAAAAAAATTGAGACACCCATAGCCCGCCCATAGCAATACTGGCCTGAAGCCCAACCCGGCCTGTCGAGGTTCTGGCGACCCAGACAACGCCAGGCAAATCTCTCGCGCATTCTCTGAGCAGCCATCTTGACTGCAAAGCCTCGGCGCACAACTTTCTGCGAGGTCAACTGAAACGTAACATAGGAGTGCCAAATTTTGACAACTCTTGATAACAGCAGGGAACCAGTCAGCTTGACTGCACAACGAAGACCAAGACGTGAGACTTTGCTACAGAACTCTGCCATCGTCTGTCGCCTGAGCATGACGGCCTGAAGCCTGCCTTCTCTGCAGGGCGGCGGACGTGGGCCTGGAAGCCGGACCCGGCTCAGGTCGGGAGGCAAGCCACATAGATCTCGGGCCCTACACGTTCCAACTAGGGCGAAGGGAGGGGTGGGGGCCTACAGAGCGCAGAGAACTCTATATTATAGACCAAGCGGCAGAGATGCAGCATCGGTGCCAAAGGGTTTCTGTGCGACCGGGTCCAAGAGTTGGTCGCTGCAGGAGAGAGATCCGCAAAGTCGGCCGCAACAAGGCTCGGCAGGCTCGCGCGAGTCTATCTCCTTCTTGGAGATCGGGCCCTGCATGGTTTTTCAGCCAAGTCCCCACAGGCTCGCAAGTGGCGACGAAAGGCCTGAAGAGAAGGATCTTCCTCCGCGGGTTCTGCCGACGGAGCAGGGTCTGGCCTCCGAGCACTCAGAAGCAGTCAAGAGGCGCACAGTTGCGGCACCCGGACAGCCTGCTAAACATGTGAGACCTCACGTCCTCGAGCAATTGGGGGCCTCGTGCTTCTTCGGGGTTCCCAGGTTTACAAAATAAAAGGTTCATCCGACATGACTCGACACCGCAGGCCCAAACAATGACAAGATGCCTTTGTAACTTCAGTAACTCTGTGAGTCAAGCGCACACATCCTTGGAATACGTGCTGCTGTCAACCCCGACGGTTGTGATTTCCAGTGTCATGCTTGGGAAGCGTTTCTCGAATATGATATGCTATGCTGCCATGCTATGATATGATTCGACATGACATGCCTTTCAGGATCTCCGGCATCCCGTGGGGAGATTTCTTGCGAAGAGCCACTGCCCATGGCAAGATGCCATCATAGACAGAAGACACAGCGGATGTGGTTGTCCTGATTAGGGTGACGATGATGCTCATGATGATGGTGGTGATGTCGGTGAGGCTGTCAATGATGAAGCTGATCGCCGTGGTGGCAGTAAGAACACTGAACACCGTGATGTATTGCACATGCTGCATATGCTCATTAACAAGAATCTGAGATTGATTGATTGATTGATTGATTGATTGATTGACTGTTTGTGGGTGCAAGCACCCTTGCATGCGCAAGGCTAGAATCTAAGAACAGTGGGTCAGTAGCCATGGCCAGAGCAGCCATGGGCACAGTAACTCCAGTTGTGGTCCTGGTTATTCTCTGCGTTTCGTGTCATCAGAACATCACGGACTGCGGAAATGGCAGCACCTGTCGTGGCAGGTAACATCTCATGCACGAACTCTCCGGCCTCTTACTTTCTGCACAGTCAAGGGCATAATAATAATAACAATATTAATATAATAATAATAATAATACTAATATTAATATTAATATAAACCCTAAGCCCTTATCTAAACATACCGCCATGTCAAGGCTCTGCCAGGGCTCGCAAGCTCCTTTTACACCTGCGGCAGCAGACTCAGAGTAGCCACAGCTGGCCAGTGTCGTGTAAACCTGCAGTCTTTGAACCGATTGTTCAGAAAGACTGTTCCAGGCATTACTGTCCATCTTGGACCACAGATATTCTGGCACCTTTGATTTTCTACGAAGGATGCCGGATCTACCAGTGCGAAGTCGCTTTAGACTTCCGGAGATGCCCAAGTTGTCAAGGTATTGCTGCTCCGCAGCAAACCCCGAGGACCGTGCAGAACCGAGCTGGCATCCGCTGCACATGACGCAATCGATAAGGGCTAGCAGACCACAGAGGCCAACGTTATGCATGTCACGTCACACTGGGAATGCCAGCTACAGCCTCACGACAAAAACTGCAGATCTTTGGCCACAACTCAAGTTGATGGCTTTGGAGCAGGGAGCTCTGGTTGAAAAAATGAATTGGCAGAGCATCAAACAGATGTTTGCCATAGTTATTTGAAAGATAAATCAGTTCTCACGGGGAAAATCTGACACTCGGGTCAGCTGCTTAGGCGAGGAGCCGCGCCGTGCTAGTTGAACCTGCAGCTTTGTGCAGGAGTGTTGCTGCTGCCACAGGCCCAGCCGACATGACGATGGATCGAGGCCTCCTGCCGAACACGGATGATGGCAAACACTTGTCACTGGGGAGACAGTCCGAAGGCTGAACCTAAGTCCAGCCACCCATGAGTATTGGCTAAACTCGCGCACTCTTCGCTGAACTGAGCTCACCACTCTGGCAGAAATATCTCGCTCAACCAACTTCCGGACTTGGGCCTCGGGAGGGAGCTAGGGCTCGTCCCCCAAACATTCTCAAGCTCTGTGTCCGCTCCTCCAAGTTTCGGTTGTGCTCCTGCTGCTGCAACAGCGCCTGTCGGATACTTCCATGCTCACTGAATGCCCCGGATAGTTGCCAGGCTCTTGTCTCGGAAGCATGCGGAATGCAGATGTTCTTTTTGTATGTCCGCGCGGCTGTCAGCTGCACGCAGGAAATCTGACCTCACGCTGCATCAACCAAAGCATCACAACATGATGGGCAATCTCAAAGGAAGCCTCCCTGCTCAAACACTTTCCTATTCTCGGCATCCTCAAAAGACTTCCTTGGCCCGTGCTGACATCTGTCCATCACACGTCAGGAATCGACAACAGACATTGTCAAAAACAACAATTTTGCATTCGCACAGCGTTCACCAAGTTGTCTGTTCCAGCTTCCCTTTTAAGGCGAACTGAGTGCTTAAGCTTTCTCCGCAACGTGCTCAATTATCCTTGGACTCCGGCCACCGGCTCTCGTCGAGAGCAGAAGCGACTCCAGGCAGATCGAAAAAGACCTGTGAATGGCTGCCACGGCCTATCATGCTATAGCTACTAGTCATTGATCCTGAGGCACCATGAGCACTACTTTTCTGAATACTGCAGATCAAATCCAGGATTATGTTTCACATGCGGGCGGGCGGGACCTGCCGACAGGATTCGCTTGCTTCATCATCTGGCTCCGGTCTCGCCATCGCTGGAGTTGCACGCAGCCGAAAATAGACCTGACAATGTCCAGAAGCATCCAGGCATGCGCAGGATGTGGAAAGACCGCAGATTTCTCTTCACAAGGTCGGGACCATGATCCGTATGCCGCTGGGGGTATATCTGGGCCTGCGACGGGGTGCCAGTATGGTCCCCAGCCCTAGTTGAGAGCCCTCGGCGCCGCGCGCTGCTGCATGGGCAGTATGTGGGTGCAGCATGACACAGTCCCCAGCACCTGGGTAAGTCACGGCAGTCGCGACTGTGGATTTAAAGCATCCCGGCCTGCCAAGAGGAAATCTTGGAAGCGGGCGCAGGTCTAGAGGCAGTGCTTGCCCCGGTGCTTTGGCATCTGGAGGACATGGCCTTCAGCTTTCCACGGTGCCGCGAAGGGATGGGACTTGCCAAGCTCCTGGCATCAGCCCCTCATATCCTGGCATCTTGTGGCTCGTGGATGGCGAGAGCCCCGCAGAAAACCCGAGCCTCGCAAGGCAGCTCCTTCGCGGCAAAGCGCTGCAGCATCCTGTGCAACTCTGTGAAAAAGTGCAACGAGCAGAGGCCAGGGCCAAGGCCTCCACGTCAAACGGAAGCTGAGCTCGTGACGGATCCAGCGTCACAGATCTTCAGGGCCAGCTCTCGGCGCAAATGGGCATGAGACCCCGGCCAAACACCTTTGTGACAAGGATCGAATCTTGGAAGGCCGTAGAGGTCCAGTGAACATGCGTCCTACACAACTTCGACTCGCTTTTCCGCAGTGAGGTGAAGGTCGCGTGTGGCGGCCGGTGACAGCCTTTGCCCAGGCCATCCGAGATATCCGAGGCAAGCTGGTCTGCCAGGGCGAAGAGAGGTGGCGGATCGCGGTGGTGCTGATGCCCGCTTCATCCCGCTTCTCAGATGATGAATGCCCACACAATCGGGGTTTTCCAGGTGCTGCCTCAAGGATGCTCCGTAGCCTGGGCGTCTCTCTCCGTCCAAGCCGTGAGCTGCAAGGCACCAGCCACGAGGAGAGGAGCTCCGTCTGCATCAACGTCACTGGACAACCTCTCCTAAGGCGCTGACAGGTCTGGGATTACTTGAGGTGGGACATGTCATCCAGTGCAAGTGGCTTCGACTGTGAACATGCTTCACACCATCCAGCTGCCAGTCCTCAGCAGAGCGACACCATTCAATGCCCAGAATGCCTTGTGAAACCAGTATCTATACACGCGAATCTACCGCCAGCCACAGGTCTCTGTCAAAGAAGTCCCCAATACCGATTCGGAAGTCCAGAGAAACTCCTTGGTCACAAGGCGCTCCGCTATGCTTGCTCCCTGAAACCAGCACTTGGCCACGAGCTCCGTACCTGCGCGCCTTTACCTTTACGTTCCGGTTTACACTACATAATATTGAACATGCAGATGGCTTAACGTGACTTTCCTGCGTCAGGTTGCACGCTGCTTCTGAAACCCAGAGCGAAGAATTAACAAGTTCAGCGAGATAGCACGGAAGCTAAGATGTTCGACAAGCGGCTGGTGAAGGGAGAGGTGTTCGCGGGCACCTGCGCTACACTTCACTACACTGCTTGAAAGGAGGAATCCGCTCCGGTCCGGCTCCAGCCTTGTGCCTGCAGAGTGTGCCATGGAACACTGCAATGCCTCGGTTCGGGGATTTTCTAAGGGATGCTCTTAAGACTTAAGAGAGCGCAGCTGCCGAGCCATGCCGAGCCGCTGCCGTGATTGATGGCCAAGGGCTGGAAATCTTCTGCACCCGGGCTGGATTCCACCCAGAGAGTCGCCTGGCTGCCATCGGCTTAGATTCTGGCGACTTGGGGTATCTTTCAAAACGAGTGTGCCTGCGTCATGTTGTAGTCAGTCAGCGGCATCCAGAAGTTCAACTCCTCGGGCCCCAAGCGACCTACTGCATGCTAGTGCTGAAAGCAGGCAACTCGAAACTTGAAACCCTAAACCCCTAAACCCTGAAACGTGGGGATGCCGCGGCAGAACACAGGGCTGCAAGTTGAAGGTGATTCGTGCGAATGAAGCAAATCTAACAGTGAGGGTCACTGGCGTTGGGAGATTATCCGTCTTGTGCGGCTGCTTTCTCGTGTGCGCATTCGCTGGTGTCACCTCTGTCTGTCTTCATAGCGAGTGTCTCTATGTCAGACACCTATACCTTCATGTGTATCAAGATATGTCCAGTGCTTATGCCGACTGTTTTTGCAGGTTCGTGCTCGGTCGGGCTGCTGCAATCACTCTAGTTTCGTTTCGATTTGCTGCCCAGGCAGTGGCCAAAGTAAGCATCTACATGTTCACGATCTGATTTCGCTTGTAATGGCCCCAACCCCCCGATCAGAAACGAGACAAGTGATATGAGGAGAAACCATAGTCATCATCAGTGCCGCAAGAAGTCACAACACCAATGGGACCAATGTGATTTGAACCACGATCAAAATCCGACACCAAGGCACCCCAATCTGATGGCCGTACTCTGCATCTCGGTGTGGGCGCTTGAACTCCTCGCTCCTGGAGGAAGAAAGAGGGCGCTGCAGAGCTCCCGGAGCTGCTCGACTCTGCGATGCGGCGATGCGTTCAAGGCCAAACCCGACAGGTCCTTCCCGGCTGAATCCGAAGGGTAGGTGGATACTGGTAGGAAAAGTTGGTCCTCGAATGTGCACGAAACTCCTCACTCTTGCCGGCTTCCGTCCCCATCAACTAGGCTGCAGGAATGAGTTGCCCTGGCGACGCAGCTGAATGAAACAGGCAGTCGTCGCAAGCGAAGCCGTCGCAATCGAATCAATTAGTCGTGGAAGTCGTCGTCGATTTAGTTGCAACATTAATAGTTCGTGATTGAATCGTTTGATTGCTGCTACCTTCCTACACATATATATATATACACACATGTATAAACAGTTCGGCACACACATGAACACATATGTAGGCTAGATATGCATCTGGAGCAGGTAGAAGACTGTAAAATTATGTAACTCTCTATATTACAGTATCGACATGTTTGCGAGGCTTGTGAATGATATAGTAAGACT